AACAAACAAATCTGTCTTGGAAGTAGTCAGAATGTTCCTTAGAATTGAGGAAGGCAAGACTTTGGGCATGGTTATCAGGAGGAACCTGTCCATACGAGGTAAAGTGGTGGTGGTGTGCCATGGAGTCGGGTCCAACTCATAGTGACCCTGTACAGGGTTTCCAAGGCTGTAAATCTTTATGGGAGCAGAAAGCCTCCTCTTTCTCCTACAGAATAGCTGGTAGTTTTGAACTGCTGACCTTGAGGTTAGCAGCCCAATTCATAACCACTACGCTACCAGAGCTCCTTTGGTAAGTGGAGGACCAGCAAAACAGACAAAGATCCCCATGAGATGATTGACCCAGTGGCAGCGGCAGTGGACTCCCAAGACGTTAATTGTAAGGATGGTGCAGGAGGGGCAGTGTTTCATTCTGGTTTGCATGGAGTCCGTACGAGATGCAGCCAACTCGATGGGCCTAACAACGTGGACTGCCAGGAGAACAAACAAAGCCATTTTGGAAGAGGTATAGCCAGAATGATGATGGGGAGACTTTATGTATTTTGGATGTTTTCAGGAGGGCCCAGTCCCTGGAACAGGGTACCATACATTGAAAAAGAGGAAGACCCTCAAGATGAATTGACCCAATGGGCTCAGACTAACTAGACGGAGGAGGACTTGGCAGTTTCGTTGTTGTACGTTGGGTTGCTGAGTCAGAAACAACTCAATGGCACCTATGAACATCTAAATGACTTAGTGTGCGGCTCGGTCACTCCCATCTTACACTCAACTTCACAGCCCTCATTGTCATCCATCCCTTCCCTGGCCTCTACCTATGTGCTGGCATGTCATCTCTCTGAAGTTTTTACCATGTGTGTGGATGAGGATTACGAATTGTTAACATGAATGAGTTCCTATCTGGTTTAAGCCCGTAGCATAGGTCTGGCACATGGTGTAAGATACAGCATTGTGTCATTTCTGGTTTATATAAAGACCTTTGTTCCAGTCAAATGATCCTACCTTAGGTTCTTCAGACACACTGGGGAACTTCTCATCTCACTTTCTTTCTGCCTAGAATGCGCTGATTCAGACGGTACTTCCCACATCACCTGGAGCATCTTCCTAGCTCCAGAAGAAGAGGGGAAGGCTATTTCTCAGGCCTATCTCATGGTGCTTTGGCCAAGCCACTTAAGGCATTGGTACCTTTATGCCTTGTCATATCCTCCCTCTCCACAAGGTGTCAGCACCAGGCGCACAAGGTGTCTACCTTTGTCATGGATCCCATCACAGTACATGACTTAGACCAAGCACTCAGCAATCTGTTAAATGAGTTAAATTGTTCAGGTCACAATTGTGCAGGTCACCTGGTAGAAGGAGCAGCGGACACGGAGTCCTGGATTCAAATGAAGTTCTGCTACGTAATAGCTTTGGAAACCTCAAATTTCTCAATTACCAAAAGGAGATGATTATGCTAATGATTTCAGTCCTATTGTTGTTAAGTTCTGCCAGTTGATTCTGACCTGTATTGTAGTGACCTTGTATAGGGTTCCCAAGGAGCAGCTGGTGAGCTTGAACCACTGACCTTGCAGTTCAAACGACTTTGCAGTCTGACACATTAGCCCACAGTGCCACACCAGGACTCAGCCCTGAGATATACCTAAATTAACATCAGTCGAATTAGGGTGGTCACAAAACTTCTGTCACACTGCTTGTTTAGCTGGGACCATCATAGAAACTAGAGAAAGAACAACATGCCAGAAGAGCCTGCTTAGGCCCCGACATACTGGTTCCCATCCATCTACAGCCTAGGTGAAATGTCTCTTCTCTCGCTGTCATCTGCAGGTTTTGCCTCAGGGTTGCTTTGTAAGTTCCTGGACCTTTCTGTCAAATCTTTTCACTTTTGATTTTAAATTATCACCCAAATGTTTTGAACAATGCCACAGTTTGGGGTTAGGTGTTAGTTCTGTTTATTGGTTATATAGCACATGGACACCTTCCTGAGTCTGGTTTTTAAGTGTAGTGGAGTCGGTTCTAACTCATAGTGACCCTGTATAGGATTTCTGAGGAGCAGCTGGTGAGCTTGAACCATAAACCTTGTGATTCAAACAGACCTTGCAGTCCAGCACATTTCATTAAGTGCTTCGAGTCTGACTCAGTGATCTTGTATGGGCTCTCTAAAGAGTGGTTGGTAGGTTTGAACCACCAACCTTGTAGTTCACAAAGTTACTAAAAAGGGGAAAAAAAGAGCTGTGACTTTGTGTGGTAATGGGCAGCTCTTGGTAATAAGGTGCAAGGTCTGTGCGTAGCTACAGGAGAGCTCCATCAATTTGAAAGCGGGATGTCTTATCTCCTCACCACACTAGAGGTGAGGGCAGCTTCTCCTTTGTCTGGAGTCTTTGGCAGCCAACGACTCCCTCTAGTGGTGACTGCTGTTCTTAAGTGTCAGTGAGTAGGCTCAATCCTGAATAGGGTTTCTGAGGAATGATTGGTGGGTTTGAACTGCCGACTTTGTGGCTAGCAGTTCAGTGCCTACCCTGCAGCACCACACCAGAACTTCTCTAGTGGTGGTGGTGAAGTGCTGTCAAGCCAGTTCTGACTCATCATGATCTGTCTTATTCCACTTTCTCCTCTCAGCAACACTGAGAGCTCTTCAGTTAGTGGGGGACTCTTGGGGCAGGGAAAGTATCTGGCCAGACATAGCTGTGTATAATCTTGAGACTCCGAGCTTGGCTGAAATATCACAGGATTGCTTTGTTTCAGGCTGGGCACTGCAACTTCTCTCTAAATGAACAACTCCAACACGAGACAGACAGCATGATGCTTCTGAGTTTATTGCATAAAGACGTTATATTGGTCCATGTTAAAAGTGGATCCTAAATGGTTACAATATATGAGAGGAAGTCAAAAAGTATTGATACAAAAGAACAGAAACCATTATTAAACAAAAAGTATCAAAAAGTAAAGTTACTGCTTTCCTTTACATCCTGCATCTAGGTCACACACTTCTGAAGTGAGTGTTCTAGATCTCTAAGCCTTTCCAGAAGCACTCCGTCAATTTACACAAGGTCAGAAGGCCAGTTTGGGATTTCTCTAGGAACCTAGACAGTGCTCTTTCTAAATGCTCCACTTTGTTTCCTAACATTATCTTCATTACTCTGGTCTTGCCGAAAAGATTGATGGGAAAAGTTCACTGTGCTGACTGACTATAATGCTTTTTGGCACCCTTTAAGCTAAAAGCTTGATCGAGGCCAAGATGTTTGCTGAAAATTGAAAATGCCAAACCACGTGAGAGCTCACCTTCAGCAGCTCTCACATGAATACTAACTGTCCAGTCATTTCCCACCAGTTTCTGGACTTCAGCCAGTTTCTTCACTTGTTGATGTTGATGGCCTTTCCTTTTTTGGCTCGTCCTTGACGTCTTCCTGATCTTCCTTGAAATGCTTGATCCATTTAGAAACTGTTGCTTTAGGTGGGGCAGCATTTCCATAAGCTTGTTGCAAAGCTTCATTGATTTGGAGAGATGTCCACTTGAGTTTTGTTAAAAATTTGATATTAGCCCTGACTTCGAAATTGGTTTTTTCCATGGCACAAAGAGTCCTTTATTTGAAGGCACTGTAATGTGACTAAGATAGTATTTTACTGAGAGAATTTGTTTGCAGTCACCACTGATCGGTATATTAACAAGGGTCAAATTTAGAACAGTTGTAGCAATACTTTTTGACTAACCCTCATACAAACTGTGAGGTTTTAAACTTGTGACAAGGGACAGAGGGAAATGTTCTACTCATTGTAAGGAAATCCTCACTTAAGCTTCAGGGAGCCACAAGCACTTAAAACCCATGAACCTTCAGCTGGTCGTCCTTAGCCAGTCCAATCTGCAATGAGAAAAGGGCATAGTTTTAAGGAATTGACAATTACTGTCTCGTTTTGCTATCAACAATCCTGTCTTCCTGGGATCCAAGATCCAGGGCACACGATGCATACCTCCACGAGCAAGAACACAATGGTTCTCAAGGGAAATGCCATTAAGAATTACCCCTCTGTCACTCGGTGTCCAAGTTCTACCCGCAATGAAACTCAGACAACCCTGAGTCCTTTATTATCTGTTCTTGTGCAATTTAAATTTAACATCTTTAAAAGTAGATCCACACACAGCATCAAATAAGAGGCAGGTAGTCCATGTCGTTTTGCCTATCTGCTCAGAAAAGCAAACCAAAACACAACAAAACCTCATCTATGTTCCTAGCAGAAGCCGACAAAACTTGCTCTGAAATTTGCATACCAAGATGTGACCAACTCACCTCTACAAGGAACTGGCATATGTTCTTGCGCTGGTCACCCTGTAGCTGAATGACTTCTCCATATTCTGGATGCTCAATTACAGTACCATTGCAGGCAAATTTCTATAGACACAAAGAAAAACGAATTACAACAAGCAGCAGTGTTTGTGCATTTCCTTTCAGGAAACCAAAGAACCCTGGTGCAGTAGGTTACTGGCTAACTGAAAGATGTGGCAGTGTTCTTCCATTAAGAACCAGAGTCTCGGGAACCCTATGGGCAGTTTTAAACTGACTGGAAGGCAAGGGTCCCTTGCATTCCCTGGAGAACTATTCAAAAAGGTAGCGGGTAAAATCCATGGATTTTGCCTACCTTCTTAAACGCCTTCACTAGTTTCTTTTTATCGTAATCATCAGCGATCCCCTGGACAGTAGTAAGGGTCTTCCTGCCGTTTCTCTGTTGAATTCTTATATGGATATAATCCTCAGTCCCAGCAGGAAGCAGGTCATCACCCTTACTTGCATCAGCAAAGGGGTCTGGGAAGAAGCAGCACATTCCTTTAGAGTCTTTATGGCTCAGATGTGTGCCACCCTCCCACTGATTTTTGTGAGTGCATATCCGAATACTGAAATCTCACGTCTTGGATCGGATCAAGTGTCCTCTGTGGGGTCTCTCCGAACACGTTAGTCAGGGACGACCGGCTTTCCCAGGCCCTAACAATGCCTGGCTTCGGCTCCCAGGTCCGCCTATGGTGGGTGATCTGCGGCTGGTAAGCAGCAAGCGGCCTGGTTTTCGGAGGCCACCGGCTGGAACCAGAGCTCCCGAGGTGGGGCCGAGTTTCCTATCCCATTGGTGCGTGTGCTGTCATTTAGGGCTGGCACCGCCTTTCCCTCCTGGCTCCGAGACACAAGGAAGGCGGAAGTGGCTCCAAAGCCCGGAGGCCATTAGTAAATACACCACCCGAGATGCTGGGCCCGCCCCCAGGACCCAGTCCTCGGCTCCAAATCCAGACATCTTCCCCTCTGTCAAGTTTAGGAAAATCTGGAAATCTCACAACTTTCCAGGCCGTCTGCAAGCCTGGAGCGCCCCGCTCTCTCACCCGGGTCTATGACTTACCGAAAGAGTGGAGGTTCTGGATTGCGGGCATACGATACGATTCCTTTTACTCGGTGGAAGCAACCTGTGGCAGGTAACTGCGAGAAGGTTGGCGGGAAGAAACTAGGAGCGAAGGGCCGAGGGATAGACGTCGACTCAGTGACTGGGGAGGGGGGAAGGGTGGAGCCACTATTCATTTATAGAGCCTCTCCTGTGACGTCAGTACGCTAAATTTACGTCCTGGCCCCTCCCATGGCATTCAACCCCAAGTATCTACGCGCCGTGGCTTCCAATTAGTCTGGGGGCAAGCATGCAGGAGGGCGCTTGCGCAGAAAGTGTGCCACGACAAGAAGTGACTGGCTTACAAGCTTTCAAAAGGGAACCTAGTGCTAGGAAGCATGGAGGAAGGCAGAATCTCCACTGGGTACAATTTAATCTTTCTGGGCGGAGCTGATGAAAAGAAATACAGATGGGTAACTCGTGATACTGTAGTGAATAATGCTTATCAGGACGGAGTGTGAGGGTTGGAAATGCAAAGGTAGACGTTTTGTAACAAGGAAAGGAGTGATTAATTCTCCAGGATAGGAGCGGAGATCTCTGCGACCATCAATGGAGAAGAGCCGAGAGCGGGACCCTACCCAGAGAGACAGAGATGCCTGAGATAGAGACAGAGATGATGACGTGGAGTGATGAAGTGACGGGGGACTTTGGATCCAGAGAGGGAAATGGACTGTGGACTGTGGGCCGAAAACTGGGGGGGCGGAGAGAGAAGGGTAGGGGGAGGATTTCTAGGATAGACCCTTTGGTTGGTTGATGATGCAAGGAGGGGATTGGAACCATGGCAATGAGATGATATACGATGGAATGAATGTAAAACTAAAGCTCTTTCATGTAAACTATCATATAATGCACAATAAAACATTAAAAAAAAATGTGCCACGAGAGGGCGTTGTCTGGATTTGCCAAGAGGTGGAAGGAAAGCCTGGTTGGTTTTGGCGCTTGTGCAGAGCGGGTGGAAGGGTATAGGGGCTGTCCAGAAACACAGGCAGAGGATTCAGGCTCTCATGGATTTTATGTCCTTGGGCACATTCAATCCTCTTCCTTACCTGTTGTATCACTACCAAGAATCCTAGTATGGCACTGTAGGATTAGCACTGGACTGCTAGCGGAAAAGTTGGTGGTGTTTTCAAACCCACTAGTCGCTCCTAGGAAATCCTATACAGAGTCACTTAGAGTTATAACCTACTCGGCGGCGGCATTTAACAATATCCCTACCAGCAGGGCAAGGGATTTTTCATTGGGTAGGTTGGCATTCCTTCGAGGGGATCTAGAAAGTGAGTCCCCTAAACACTACACATTCCCACAGTCTTATATTTACTTGTCTAGTCACTCACCTACTTCCTCTACAGAAATATTTAGGGCAGCATTTTGATTATATAATAAACGTAAATAATAGGATTAAAGCCTTAATCTGATAAATCAGATGAACCCACCTAAGGAAAGAATGTCCCAAGTGCATTCGCATAAACTGTTCAAGGGAGACTAACTGGTTCCTGAATCTCAGGTCACACAAATTGTGCGGTAGGATCTCTGGTAGC